ACACAGGACAAATCAGAGAAATTCCTTAATAGGCCTGTATGTTGAGAGAAGCTCTTCTTCTTACATATTAAATCCATATATAACCTGTATGTAGTTTCCATAAACACATACAACAGGGACGCTGAGGCCCATGATCAAGTCTGCCCATGGAAGCGGAGGGGTGAGGTGATGAGCTCAGTGTTGTCAAGCTGTGACAGCACTTCCTTGTGAGGAGGAAACTTTTACACACTGGACTCATCCCCTCCCTTGCAGCTGTAGTGAATTTCTCTTTCACCTTCCATAAACCTGGCTCAGAGAGGCTGCTTCATACTGTTCATATAAGAATCTACCCTGCTATGGCTCGAGGGGAGTTGCCTGCTTTGGCACTTTCAGTTCTTTCTGGGTGATTTCCTATCCAAGGAACTGACCGTGAAATGCTGGCTGCAGATCCTGGTTCTTTCACACAGAGCACTGGTCTCAGCGTGCCCCTCTGTGTGTTTTTCATAGCCTTGAAGAGCTCTTCATGTCTTACCAGGCATCAGAGGTGATGAAGAACTCTCAAGCTGATGCTTATAACTAAGAGGAGATTTTGTGCTAAGGAGGGTGAATGACTTAGTCACTGGGAGGCCAGGCTGTGTGTCCTGCAGCGACGGCTGATTCAACCCCCTGGTACTCTCTCATCAGACCAAATATTGGATCAGAAAGAGAGAAAAAAAGGGAAAAAGAAAGGGGACATGAAAATCATGTGGATTAGACTGGAAGGGACCTCAAGAGTCTGCCTCTTAGCACCAGGAGAAACCCCGTGCCACACACAGACACATATGCTGAGCCCTGGGGTGCTGAGCCTGGGCTGCAGGACTCCTGAAACCCTGTCTGGGTGTAGGAAAGCTGGTCCTTAGGTGCTCTAGCTGACTATGCACAAAGCCACTTAGGAGCAGTGTGAGCAGCTGGTAACAGAGGAAAGGGCTAATAAATGAAATACAAAGTACTTGTAACCAAGAATACCTTTCTGTGGTGGAGAAGCCACGTGGGAGGGTGAAAGGGAGGCACATGAGCAGCATCAACAGTCCTAAAAACCCATTAACAAGAGACAGGGAAAGCCTGTAAAAAGCCTCCTATATTTTGCTCAGCTGCATGATTCCCCCTTGTGCACACATCTTTGTGTGTGTGGATTTAGGAGCCCAGCTCTGCATTAGCACCACGTCCACTGCATGTTCCCAGCCCTGACACAGGAGTGGCCACGCAACTGTGTCTCTGCTGTTTTTCCCTTTGCCAGAACAGCTGCTTCCAGCCCTGGTGTGAAGGGTAAGTCATGATTAAACCCCCACTGAGACATGGCATCTTCCCAGTGATTCCATCAGCTTTGGATCCGGACCATTCGGTGATGACAGAGGAGCAGGGAAGCACAAATAAACACTGTACCTTGTTGGGTGGAAGTATATTTTAGTGTCTTCAGAGGTACATCAGTACCAGGTTAATGTGATGGCTTTGAATCGTGGAGAAGATGCTGCAGGGAAATGAAATCCATACAGAGCTGGACTTTAAGATGAAGATGCATTTCTTTCTGTCCTCCTTCAGCAAAGCAGAGTGATGGGTGAGCTCTGCCCTCAGCTGGGAGCTCACAGGACAAAGCCCTGTGTGTGAGGGCTCGGAAGAGGCAGGCATCACTTGGTAGCACCCTTTCCCCCCAGCATCTGTGGGTGCAGTCCCTGCCTGGCACATCAGCTCTGCAGAAAGCAGCCTGGAGCAGCTGCCCTCGGGATCTGAGCCAAGCATGAGGATATTAAGGATGTCTCTGTACCCTCTAGAGGAAATTTAGGCTCAGGTTCACGTCAGAATGACAGCACTGCTCACAGCATGTTGTTGTGCACGGGACAGCCCTGAGCTACAGCCTGAGCCATCTGACAGGAGCTCTGTGCTGCACACAAGTGTGCTTGCAGGTGGATTCATTTCCCCTTTGTTATTAAAACTCTCGGTAAGGTAAAATACCGAATTCAATCAATTTTTGTTTATTAGGAAGGCTGTTGCCAATAACTCTGAATTCCTTCTGCAGGGGCAGCAGTGGGAATGGTTCACCACGATACTTGCACCATAGGTTTAAGAACACTGTCCTTGTAAAAGCAGTTGGATTAGATGACAGCTGAGCAAAAGAAGCAGCAGCTCCTATCAGGCATCTGTAGCCAGGCACCAAGCATCACCTCCAGGCAAAGCCTCATTATCCAGCAGCACAGTATCTCCTTTTCAGGAAACAGAACTTCCTTCTGTTTTTCCACAGTCCTGTCAGGAACTTCCAGCTCTTTTTCTCTTTTAACTCTTCAAGATGAGAGACGGTGACAGCAGAGGTGCCGGGAGGAAACAGAAGGCCACAGCAGAAGGGAAGAATGGCACCAAACACAGTTGGCAGATGATCAGTTGCCATCTCTTTCCTTTTGAAGGCTGTTTCACTTCTCACGGGCTGAGGCACAACATGAAATGATCCTGTGCTTCTGACTGTGCTGGCTCGTTATTAAAGGAACAAGTCGAAGGACTGCTTCAGTAGCTGTATGGACCAGACCAGCTTGATGATGCCTTCTCCAAGTTTATCCCCTCCTGTGTGTCTTTCCCACCATATTCCAAGCACATCTAAAGGGAATACAACTATCCACCAGGATTTTGTCACTGTAGAGATAAATGCACTCATATGCACTGCAACCAGCTGTTAATGCTCCTTAGCGAAGAGCATCACTTAGAGCAAACCCACTCCTGCCACCCAGGGGTTGGTCCCAGGTGGAGGAGCCCTTTTTTGGGCCTGGATCTTTAGTTTTAATGAAGGACAAGCCAAAGACAGGACATTTACTGTTTCAGAGACCTTTTAGAGGGTGGTATTTGTAAACACTCTATGCAATAGTCTGCATGATGCTTCAGGAAGCTGTACAGAAGCATGTGTCACCCTCATTGTGGTTAATGTTGTTTTTGCTAGGAGACAATCAGTGAATCCTCTGTGATCTGTGTCCCAAAATGAAGTGGGAATGCAGAATACTGCCTTAGCCATCCACTTCGTCTGCCAGCTTCAGAGAATCTACAGAAAAGAAGCTTTTTCTTCTTACTGCTTCAAAGCATCTGAAGATATAACAGTAATCATTAAAGCTTCAGAATAGACATCCTTTATGGAAGGACAGAAGTCTCTAGTTTAAAAGGAACACAGCTCAAACCAATTACTTGCTGCACTTTCATTTCCCTTTTCAAGCCAGGCAGTTCATTACAGTGATATAATGGGCATTCCT